TCCAATAGCTACAATATGTCTTTTCACTTCTGTTCTTGCAGGCCACATATGGACAGAAACAAAGGGCAATATTTTAATAACAACTCTTATCTTTTGGCTTTTTAAATTGATCTGCTAATCAAATTGGAAAAAAAACCAAACCCTTCCTGCTTCGAGGGAGAAGCCCTCACTGTCTTGCACAGAGCAGCACAAGTGAAATGAAGCCTGAATGGGAATCTCTGCCTCTGCTTCATGCATTTGGAAGCCTCCAGATTGATTTGATTTATTATGGCCCACAAAACTCTGGTATCAGCTACAACTTTTGCCACATGTCATCTATGTTGTTATTAAAAATCAATTCTCCAGAGAGAAAATGGCTTCCGAGTGACAGTGTGAAATCTGTTATTGTCAGTTATTTATTATCCGTATTCTCAGGGGAATTTAGAAGAGAAAACATCAGCAAAACAATTTCCACTTTTTTTTTTTTTCTAAAAGGAATGTAGAGATCTCATTACCTTTGGCTGTGCATGCCTTTGAAGGTAGCAGACCCTTCTCATACAGGCTTCTGTGTCTTCCAAATTCCTTATGTTTTCTTTACTTTTTGCCTCTCTCTAGTAAATAAAGTAAATAAGTATTTGAAAATTAGAATAATCATAGATGTATGATGAAAGTGATCTTTGACAGATATCTGGTTCTGTCATCTCTCTTACGCTTTTCAGCACAAGCCCAACTGAGAAAACTGCAGAGTCGAGATGTTTATGTTTATGCCTCAATATATATCAGTGTTTACACAATCAGGCTTTTAATCTTCAGCCCTCACCTGGTGTATCCATACTGGCAGCCAAAGTGTGCTGGGGAGCAATTTCAACATAGAGTCTTCAGAATTTTTTTTAATAATCAAAAGTTGGTATCAGTAGGTTTTTGCACCAAAACTATTATGGTTTTGGTTTTATTTTGAGGTTTTTTTGGTCCAAAGCTAGTCTTTTATCTAAATGTATCTTAGCTAAAAGCATCTTAGCTAAATGTAAACAAATTTTAAAAGCTGAGATTGAGACAAAGTAATTATAAATATTAGAAAACTCTGGTACACCTGAAATGATTATTTTAAAGGTCATTTTTATTGTGCGACAATGTTGTAACTTCTGACATTTTGTCCTGATGTAATTAAGAGGCAAAGTCCAGAAAGAAAAATACTTTCTCAGATCACTAAAAAGATTTCCATGTTATATTTTTGAAAAAAATTATAAAATTCTACTAGCATGAGATGTTCTAGTTTTACTGAAACCTGATGGATATTTACTGCAGCTCAAAGCTCACACAAACGTAGTAATCTGTGTGATGATAAAGCTACCACAAACACTCTTCAGGCAAAACCTTGGAACCAATTTTTGCAATACATTTTCATTGCTGGATGCTGCATTGGATCGACTGAACAGGAATATTATTTGGCTTTGTTTCTTTTTGGTTTGGTTTTTTTTTTGGTTGGTTGGTTGGTTGGGTTTTGCATTGCAGAATGACTTACCCAGTAAACCTGTAAAAGGTGCTGCTGTTACGAGCACTGAGCAGTGACACTTTGGCTTCCCAGTTCCTCTGACATCTGAGTTGTGTTGGTTCCTGCAGGGTTTGGCATCCTTCGGGGTTCATCGTAGGTGTTTGCCCTCCATGGGATGTGGCCTTGTAAGCTCAGCCAAGCTTTTAACCACATTTCTCTCTTTACAGGGTAGATCATTGTTTACTGAAAAAGCATCCCCTTTGTGTCTATGGTAACCCAATGTTAGGAGAACAATGGGCTAGGAGGCAGGAACAGTTAGTAAAAAAAACCCAACAACCAACCAAAAAAACCCAAAAGGATATGTTTAGGTCATTTCCTTACCTGAAGACAAAGTAATAAGTTACTGAGATTACATGGAGAAGAAAGTTTTTATTTCAAGAATTCAAGTGTTTTGTTACTCTGTGCTCTGGGAAGAGATCCCCACCACCCTAAATTCATACTCCAGCTGTTTACCAATTTTTAGACAAGAGGATACCTAGAAGTTGTGCTTTTGAGGGAGAACGCACACATCAATCTGTGTGCTTTAACTGTCCAAATGTTACAGATTTATTTGACCATTTGTTTATAAGATTTTATGGTATAAAAATGTGTTCCTGTTGTTGATCCAAGAGGAAAAAGATTTTATTGCACTGTTGAATTCTCTTGCCACTATTTATTACTTCGGGTTTCAAGTTTTTTAGCATTTATCATTTCATTTTGGCTGCATGGGTGATGATCTGGCTGATGTGATTTTTTTATTAAAAGGCAGGCAATGAAACATACCTCAGTGTTTAAGATATGTAGTCAAGCCATTCATTCCAAATGGTTCTGTATTTTTGATGGTTTTACCTTCTTACAGATAAATGGCTTTGTCATTCTTCAGCTTCTCTTGGAAGAAGTTTCCAAGACATTTAGAAAAGAAACTGCACCCCTCCACAGAACAGACACAATTGATACGACAGGAAGATAAATAGAAGTTCTGCTGTCTGTTCAGAGAGAATCGTCTTGCTCATCTTTCAGTAGTTTAAAAGATCAGAATATAAGCTCATATGAGTGTCTGCTTATTTAAATATGCTCATTTCATTGAAGGAGGGAACATTTTGATGACAAGTTGTTGACCAGGCCTGATCTTGCATCCTCATATGAACAAAAATGCTCCTTATTTAATAGCTGTAGGGTATGTCTCAGTCAGTTGGTCATTCTGTATAGAATTAGTGAGTGTGCTTTTTCTGGTGTTACTGTGTGGGAGCTCATATATTTCCTGTTCTTGTTCAGATTAATTGCTTGGAGATCCATCCTTATATATGCCAAATATTATTATTAATAGCCAAACCCTAGGTATGCTTAAAGGAAAATTACAGAATCAGGATGTTGGGAGGGGAAGTTTTTGGTATACTTGCATCAAGAACTGGAGAGAGATGCCAGCAGGATAACTCTGCTGTAGCTTTTGTGGTTTCATGCTCTGTAGAAAAACTTTGCAGTACAATGAGCAGCTGTGAAACGTGATTGTGGTAACATTGCTTATGCTCACATAGCTCACAGCCCCATGGCAGGACCCAGGCTCACGGGAGACAGGACAAGGTGTATCTTCCCCTGGCAAGTTTGGCTTTCCTTGCTAGGTATGCTGGTGTTAGGCAGTACGTGGAGGCAGAATTCATGAGAGTTATAAGGCATCATGTAGATCCTGGTGAAGCTTATAGTGGTGTTGGGGTGGAGAAAGGGAAGAAAGGATGTAAAAAGAGATGCTTTTCTTTTCATCTGGGGCTATTGTGTATATCCATGGGCCCAGATGTTTGGTTTGTTCCAAACAAACTCAATGGGCACTGTTTCAAGCATCTGTACAGACACAAAAATAAAAAATAAGATGTGATTGCTATGTTCCGCAAATCACCAGGTAAATTAGAAAATAAGTGACTCAAGGGAAAGA